AGGGAACAACATGTTTGGGTGCCTCTCTGTCCCCACCCTGACTTGGGGAGCAGCACTGTGGCAGCTCTCCTCAGCCCAACATGTTTTTGTTTCTTTGAGCTACGGTCACAGATGACCACACACTTAGTGGCTTCAAGGAACGGAAGTGCATTCTGTCACAGTTCTGGAGGCCAGAGGCCTGCAGTCTAGGTCTTGATGGCGGGCTTCCTCGAAAGACTCCAGGGGAGGATAATTCCCTGTGTCCTCCAGCTTCTGGTGGCTCTGGGTGGTGGTGGCATGGAGCAGCAGCACTCCAGTCTCTGCCTCTGTCCTCACATGTCTTCCTCTGGGTCTTCTCTCCTCAGGGCACTTGCCGTTGGATGCAGGGGCCATCCTAATTCAGGATGGACTCATCTCAAGATCCTCAGCTTAAGTCCATCTGTGAAGACCCTTTTTCCACATAAGGTCACATTGACAGGTTCCAGGGGGACGTATCTTTGGTGGGAAGGGGTGCCACTGAGCCCACTGCACTGCCCAATGGGTTCTGGGTCTAGAATAGGAATGCACACACTTGGAAAGCCAGCCCTGAAGGGGACAGTAGTTGGGCCTCCATGGATTGGGGACTGTCCTTATTAAAATGACTAGAGAAGCAAATGCTCGTGGTGACAGGCTCAGTGCTCACTGGTAGCTGCGACAGTCATTCAAACATAGACCCTTCACTGTCTTCTGCTTATCGAAGGACTTACATGGTATCCAGGTAGCACAGTAGTCCTCTCTAGGAAGAACACTGCCTGGAGAAGTTGCCTTGTGAACTCTTTGGAGTAACGGAGGGTCCTGTTCTCCAGCTCTGTCCTCAGATTGCTTACTGGCCTGTTCATCTTGTCTCAGAGAGAAATTGAGTAGATGTCAAATACAACAACTAGAATCACTATGGAGATGCTGAGGGTTAAGGGATGAATGACCAAAAGGGGCACAGCCATATGCTGAGAAGAAAGCGAGATCCTGAGAAATGGAATGGGCTGAGGAACTGGGGGTACAAATATATGCAAAAGGGCCTGGCTGTGAGAGTGCACAAGTTGCACCACCACTCAGGAGGCTGGAGGCCACCAAGGAAGGTCCAGGTTCTGCTCCCATGACAACTTGAATGTGCAGGTGCAGTTGCATGCACCTAGCTAATTGGGAGCCTGGGCAGGAGGATTATGACATAAAGATTGTGTCAAGATACCCATCTGTGTCTCCCCCTCTTCCCTCTCTCTCCCCTCATCTTTTTCATTCCCTTCCACTCTCTCATAAAGGAATAAAGAAAGGAACAATAATTGCTGAAGTCAGTTGGGAAATAGGAGAAGGAGGCCCAGCAACCAGCTCAAATGCACTCAAACATACTTTGGAGCTAAGAGCTGGCCAGTAACATTGACATGTGTTGGCCCTCAAGTCTTGAGAATATCAAAGACCCAGAGCCAGGGACACAGGAAAGGCTCTTTGTGGACTGTCTTGGCCCTCTCCTGCTCCATATTGGGACGTCCTGTCTATGGCATCTAGAGGACACGGTCGCATCAGCTTCACCATGAGGACCAGACTACCTTCGGTGACAACCTAGTTGGCAGGTTTTGCATTCAAATCTGGTTATCAGTTTCAAGTGCCCATGATGTTAGTAGTAAGTATTGATATTTATTTCACATGTGGGCCCTGTGAGAAACAATGTACACTCCTTGGGAACCAGCAGTTAGCGTAATGGCTATGTCACTGGACTCCCACGTCGTCAACCACGGTTCACGTCCCGGACCCGGTGACTTAAAACTCACGCCGGGCGCATGTGCGTGCGTGCCCAAGATCCCGAGAGGAGAATGGAGGAGAACGGATTGTGGCGTGACCATCCCCCCTGGGGGGTGATTTCTCGCTTTCTGTCTCTCTGTCTCTCTCTGTCTGTCTGGCAAGCGCACGCGCCCTATAGCGAAAACCTCTCCAAAAAAAAAAAAAAAAAGAAACAATGTACATTCCTCTCTCATTATAATGCTGTGGGTATCATTATCAGGCAGTGTTGTTATTTTTTTTCTTTTAACTTCTTTCTTATGGGAAGTTTCAAAGAGGTAGGCAGGGAGAATATAACGAACCCCTATCTACTCCCCAGTCGGCGTAGTCTCCCACATTGAGCCCCTATCTACTCACCAGCTGGTGAAGTCTCCCACATTTTGCCGGTTTTGTCTCAAGGAGCATCACTGTCCATATCTTGTGGAGGAGAAAACTGCAACACCCGGAGGCTGGTTCAGTTTTCCCAGGCCATGCAGCTGGTAGGTGGGAGAAGCGGGTGTGGAGGCCAGCCCAGAGCTCCTTGGCATGATGCCCTGTGGCCCTGCCAGCCTCTCCAGAGACCTTGATGAAGGCAATGTGTAAATCTCCACTCAGGGGGCAAAGGATGCTGGCTTTCCTGTTCTCCTAGCCCTGGGGCTGCAAGTGACAGCTTTTCCAGGTCATTCAAATGGGCTTGAAGACATTTAGACACGGCCCAGGGGTGTTGCAGGCTTGGTGTGCTGATCTGCAGTGCCCGAAGCCACTTGGTCCAGATCCCCACTAGGCCTGAAACATGCCCTGCCTAGCAGGAGGGCTGGAGGGAGGGGAGGCAGTGTGACGAGCCTGTCCAGAGTACCTGTCTCCCTCCCTCTCTCTTCTCTCTTGCATGGCTATTATCTCTGGTGAAAGAAAGAAACTTAAAAAAAAAAAAAAAGAGCTTTAGACAGCTAGGATTCATGGAAAAGTCCCCCCCACACATACGAAAGCACATTCCATAGAAGCGAGGGGAAATTACTGTAAAGTGATATTCTAATCATTTTAACTAAAAACCCCAAATTGACTAGGGTAGTGGGGAAAAGAATAGATGTTAAAATATACAATTAATTTCTCTGGTATCTGTCATTGGGTATTTGCATATGATAAAACGTCAGAGAGAAAGAAGCAAAGGCGAAGTTTGTGCTAAATTGTGCCCCTCCCTCGTCATATATTGAACCCCGCATCCCCAGTGTGATGGTATTAGGAGGAGAGGCATTTGGGTGGTAACTGGGCTATGAGGGTGAAGCCCACAGGATGAGACTAGTGTCCTTATAAGAAGGGACATCAGAGGGAACCAGCAGTTAGCGTAATGGCTATGTTGCTGGTCTCCCATGTAGTCGACTGCGGTTCGCGTCCCGGATCCAGTGGATTAAAACTCACGCCGGGCGCGTGTGTGTGCGTGCCCAAGATCCCGAGAGGAGAATGGAGGAGAAGGGATTGTGGCGTGACCATCCCCCCTGGGGGGTGGTTTCTCACTTTCTGTCTCTCTGTCTCTCTCTGTCTGTCTGGCGAGCGCACGCGCCCTACAGTGAAAAACCTCTCCAAAAAATAAAAAAGAAGGGCCATCAGAAAGCTCTCTGCCTGGGATGAGCAGATAACTTAAGGGTTACGTTGCGGGACTCCCACATAGTTGACTCCAGTTTGAGTCCCGGACCTGAAGACCCTGAGTGCGTGTGCATGTGTGCCCAAAATCCTAATCCTAAGAGAATGGAGGAGAAGGGGTTGTGGCATGGCCATTTCCCCAGGGGGCGATTTCTCACTGTCTGTCTGTCTCTCTCTTTCCAGTGCACATGCTCTATAGCAAAAATCTTTCTCTCTCTTAAAAAAAAAAAAAAGAAAGAAAGCTCTCTCTCTCTTCCTCCACTTGTGTGAAGACACCAGGAGAAGGTGCCCATCTGTAAGCAGCACACCTGCACATCTCACCCTACCGGAACTCAACTGTGTGGGCACCCTGATCTGAGACTTCCAGACTCCGGAATTCTGAGAAACGGAACCACCCAGCCGAGACCCCCCCAGCCGATGGTGCCTTGTTACGGCTGCTGGAGGTGCCTTCCAACCGAAGGCAACAGGTGAAGGGGCTCCCTTTATAAAGCATGCTGGATGATAAAATGCGTACGGGCACTTGTGGAGTTGCCCGAGTATTTCTGGAGTCTCCTGCAATAGGAGATTTTGCCCATCATACTTAACGGGTGAAAAAGGTGTTTAGGATTCTTGCTTGCAATGCTGGTAAGTGTCCGATTAGAGACTCAAGTGTCTTTGCTGGCCCTTGTCCTTAAGCCTTGCAGCCTCGAAGCAGTGAGTTTACCATCATTCAGTTTATAAATTGATGAGATAACATCAACACAAGTTGTGTGGGAATGTAATTGTCAGTGTTGCCCAAATTAATAGTATCTGCTGTACAAAGAGCTCTTCTTGCTTTTCTTTCTGGTTAGCTGAATCCCAGAGAAAAGAAACAAAAATCCCAGAGAAGGAAACAAAAAAGTCTCATACCCAGAAACTGGTCCTTAAGCACACATTCTCAGAAACAGCCACTACTGGTTGAGCACCTACTATGTGTCACATACAGTGAATGCAGCATCTCCCTCCAACCCTTCCAACACCCCTGCATTTCCCCTGCATTTCCGAGATACACGCATGCACCAACCCCATGTCAAGGTTGGGAAACGGGCTCTGGGAGAGCGAAGGGGCTTAGCTTAGCCCGGCTCTAGTGTGAGAGCCATGCTGTTTCTGTGAGAGCACTGTGCCTTCCCCATGGCAACTGAGACCCTGCTCTCATAAAGACGTAGGATGAGGTCTTCCTCCTCCACACGCCTCTCTTAAATTCCAGAATGACGATAGCCATGTGTGCTTCTATCTGATCAAACGCTTTCTTAGTGCAAGGCAGCGATGAAGCCGCGATTCGGGGCGTGGTGGCCGTGGTTGGGAGGCACTGCCTGGACGGTGGCAGGGCGGTGCTCAGGGGAAAGGCATGCCTTTTGCAACATCCTGGTGCTGGAAAGGAGTGGACTCACTGTGTCATCTCTTAAGTAGAAAGCAACCCAGCGACGATGATGACAGCAAAGATGATGATGGCATTGACGACAGAACACTCCTGGGCGTCTTCCTGGGCAGCTGTGGGACACATGCACAGGGAGCTTCTGGAGCTTCTGTTGGAGAGTAGCTGGCGGAGGCCATGCTGTCTGTTGCCTGGGTGGCCATGGCCACGGCAATCCCCTGCACTCACTGGGCCTCATTTCCTGCCCCTGTGGAATGAGTTACTGGTGGGCTGTGTCCTTATGGGGGTGGTAATGAGCGGGAGGCATGACCCGGATTCACGGTGAATCAAGCCATCCTCACCGAAGGCCTGTCGAGGCGCTCTGTGAAACGTGGGTGCCCCTGTGCAGCCTGCTCCGTGGACCCTCTTCCTCCCACAGATGCCTTCTGTTCCTTGGCTGTTGAGGTCCTCACACCCTCCCTGTGCATCGAAATCTCCTCTCCGTGAAGAACAGAGTAACTCATCTACGCTCTGCAGTAAAGGCCTGAGAAGCCTAAGCTGTCACTTGCTCTTGGGATGTTGACATTTTAAACGCCAGGGTGGGAGAGGGAAACACTGATTCAAATAGAACACATGAGACTGTAGCTGTGAGCCGGAGAAGGGGAGAGTTTTTAGGGCGGGGCTTCTTCCTGGTGTTTAGGAAATGGTACACCAAGAGGGACTTGTCCCAGGACCACGGGGGAGTGGACCAGGTGTGCCCTGAGTCACAGTGCTCATCATGATTCTTCTGTCACCTTCACAATACCACCTGCTTTCCAGATGCTGAGTGGGAAGATATGGGCGACACACACGGCCCAACCCAAGGAGATGAGGACGTGCAGAACCCAGGGCTCTCAGGCAGACCAGAATGGATGGTCCTCATCTCTGGTGCCCAACTGTCTTACCTGTCCCTCTGTCATCACCGAGGGACACAGCACTATCTTACTTC